TGGTAGGCGCAGGGCTGGAGCCCACCCCAGGGTGGTCTTCATCTCTGTGAAGGCGGCTTCTGCTTCCTTAGTCCAGGCAGGGGGTTCTCGATCTGGTCCCCCTAAGAGATCATAGAGGGGTCTTGCTATTGCCAAGAACCCAGGGATCCAGATATGGCAGAATCCTGCAGCCCCCAGGAATTTTCACAGGCCCCTTTTTGTCTGGGGCTGTGGCAAGGAGACAATGATTTTCTTTCTCTCCAGCCCTAGTTCTCTCTTCCCTTGGGTGAGGAGGAAACCAAGGTATCAGACCTGTTGTTGGCAGATTTGTGCCTTCTTCCATGAGACTAGGTATCCCAAGTCTGACAGGAGCTGTAGGAGGGCCTTTGTGCCTTTTGTGCAGTCTTCTTGTGTGTCACTGGTGAAGAGGAGGTCATCTACATACTGGAGGAGGGTGCATTGTGTGGCCTCTCTTGGGAAGCTGGAGAGGCCCACGGCCAGTGCTTCCCTGAAGAAGGTTGGTGAGTTTTTAAACCTCTGCGGGAGGTGTGTCCAAGTCAGTTGCATCTGGTGCCCTGTGTCAGGTTCAGACCATTCAAAGGTAAATGGTGGCTGGCTCTGGGGAGCTAAGTGGAAGCAGAAGAAGGCATCCTTCAAATCTAGGCAAGCGAACCATTTGGCTGACCCTGGGATTTGGCCGAGGAGGGTGTATAGATTCGGGACCACTTGGTGCAGAGAGATGGTCACCTTGTTGATGGCCCGCAGGTCTTGAACTGGTCGGTATCCCCCTCCTGGCTTCTAGACTGGCAGGAGTGGGGTATTCCAGGCTGACTCGCACTCGACTAGAATACCTGCTTCTTTGAGTTTGGCCAGATGTTCTTGGATGCCGATCTTAGCTTCTTGTGGAAGGGGGTATTGCCTTTGCATCTGAGGTTGGGCTCCTGGGATCAGTTCAACAATGATAGGGTCCTGATTCCGGGCTAGTCCAGGTGGGTTGTTTTCAGCCCATACTGAGGGAAGACGAGTCTGAACTCTGGCGAGCTGCTCGGTTGGGCTTGGGCACAGAATAGCCTCCATTCTTCTTCCCTCAGTGTGGTAATTGCTAGTACCAGAGACCCCATCTCCTCTTGCCTTGGGTTCAGTCAGAGGCTTGTGTGTCCAGTGGGCTTAAAGGTTATCTGAGCCCTAAGCTTAGAGAGTATGTCTCAGCCCAGGAGAGGGGTGGGGCAATCAGGCAGATAAAGGAATTCATGTCAGACCTTGTGGCCCCCGAGTTCACACTGGCGAGCCTGGCAAAAGGGCTTTGTATTGCCCATGTCCTGGTGGCCCTGAGGATGGTTGCAGTCCTTTAGCTGAAAGGAGCCACTGGGGAGGTGACAACAGAGTGCTCAGCCCCAGTATCAACCATAATGGTCACTGGCTGGCCCCCCACCTTCATTCTGATCATGGGCTCATGGGGGCCAAGAAAGAAAGAGCCTGGCCCCCCTCAGTCTGAGTCCATTCCCGCAAGGCCTATGGGGTCCTCCTCTCGGGGTTCTTCCTTGTAGCGGCTGGGCTTCTCAGCCTTTCCCCTGTTGGGACATTCATTTTCCCAATGCCCTTTCTCCTTATAGCAGGCAACTCTCTTGCCATGGGGGTTCTGGGTCTCCCCCCTTTTTGGTGGTCGGGGTCTCCCTGCCTTTGTGTTGTCCTTTTCTTTCAGGGTGGCGGCGAGGAGGCTGACTTTCTTTTTCATCTTTTTGTCGGCTTCCCATTCGGCTGTGACCTCCCTGCTCATGTAGACCTTATTGGCAATCTCTGTTAGCTGGGTGATATTCGTCCTGGTGAAACCCTCTAGTTTCTGAAGTTTTTTTCTGATGTCTGGGTGGCCTGAGCCATGAATCAGTGTTTACCATCTGTTGGCTTTCCTGTGCCTTGGGGTCAAATGGAATGTATATCCTGTAGGCTTCACGTAGTCTTTTGTAGTAGTCCCCGGGGGACTCCCCTGGTTGTTGAGTGACCGAGGATACCTTAGTCATGTTCATGGGTTTCTTAGCTCCTGCCCGGATTCCCCAGAGGAGGGCCTCCTGATGCCAGCAGATGTGGGCCTGTCCCTTGGTTGTGGTGAAGTCCCATGCTGGGTGCTCTTTGGGTGCAGCCGTATTAGCCCAGGCAGCAGGGTTGATTACTCCCACTGGTCTTCCTGGTACTGCCGTGCACCTTTCATTATTCTCCTACTTTCCTCTCTGTTAAATAGGGTGCAGAGTAACTGTTGGCAGTCTTCCCAGGTTGGCCTCGGTCTGGGGGTGCCAGTTGATCCTCTGGGCCTGGGGGCGCCAGTGGATCCTCTGGGCCTGAAAGCACAGGTGAGACTGATGGCGGCAGAGTGTCTGGAGCTGAAGGACCAGGTGTAGACGGTCTTGGAGGTATGTACTGTCGGGGCAGGGTCGGTTCCCACTCGGAATGTCTGGCTAGGATTTGTGGAGACTGGGTCTTTTGCTGATTTTCTTTAGGTCACTTGGATGAGGTGATTAAGACCCTGCCCTGTCCCTGCCTATTGCAAGTGAATCGCACCCAGTGGGGGGAAGGTCTAGGCAATTCCTAGCCAGGGGTCAATGTACACAAACTGGTCAGGGTGTCCTGGTTCTTCTGTTAAGACTCACCATACTTGATGAATCATTGGGACATCCAGTGTCTCTTCTGAAGGTCACCCGACATCAAAGGTGGGCCATTCCAATTTGCATAGGGTTCTCAACTTGCCAGGGTTCATCCTGACTCCATAGTCTCCCGAAAATCCCTTCTTGAAATTTTTGATCATGGTCTCTAGAACCATAGGTTTTCCCTGCCCTGACCCCATGGTGATGTCCCTGTGTGCGGTGGTGCAGAGACAGACAAAGGCAGGGATGCCTCCTGAGGTGAGGAGACCAATCAGATGCCCATCTGGCTGTGTCCCAAAGGAGCTTAAGTGAGGCTTGGCCATAGCGGTCTCAGCATTGTGACTTACGATCTGAAACAATTCTGATGCCGCCATAGACGGCATGCCATTCACCATGGAATTGCAGATGGGCCCACTCAGACTCCATAGGCTTCTGGGGAATTTAAGGGTGCCCACCCGTGGAGTCACAGAATCAGTCTGCTTGAGCAAGCCAGGTCAGAGTGCACATTCACTCACACATTCACTCCAGAAGTTATTACATTCCCTCTCTGGGAATCCCTACTTGTGAGACCTCTAAGGTCTCTGGGGGGTGATCAGGCTCCCCTTCCACCCTGACGGGCAGGCCTATCTGGGTCCTGGGGCCCTAGGCCTTACCATAATCTGATGTCAGGACCAGGTCCTCACCTGTCAAGTCTCCTGGAGTCTGGCGGGAACAGCGGAGTGGGGCTGGCCCGAGGCGACCAGGGTAGGAGGCTGCCGAAAATTAGGCAGGGTGTGCCTTCTCCCTTATGATCTCTCATTCTGTCACTGCCCCGCTGTTGCCCCCAAACCGGTGGCAACAATGGGCCAGCGTGGTTGGGTTTCCTGGTCAGGGAACCAAAAGTTACAGAACCTGGACTGGATTGCCTGATGGAGGAACCAAACGGCACTCGGAGATCTTGAATAGGAGGTTTATTTAATGCCGGCGGGCTCAGAAGAGAGTGATCTCCAAAGGTCTGAGCCCCAAGCACAAATAAATAAATAAATTTATACACTTCTACTTCTACATACTGGGCACTCTTGGTGTGTGCGTGAAGTGGGGCAGGGAGAGGAACCCGGATTGGCCATGCGTGGGAAGCAGAACAGAGAGAGAAGAACCCAGAAGAACCCTGAGACAGGTGCTGGGACTCCCTCGTTGGCTCGGTCGACCATCTTAGGACACAGATTTTTCCTTATCATTGGGAGAACTAACATTGCAGACTGGATTTTCTAGATTGATCCAACATAATCACAAGGGTCCTTATTAGTGAAGGAGAGGGGCAGGAGAGTAAGAGACATGTGATATGAGAGAGATTTAACTGATCCTTGCCTGCTTTGAATGTGGAAGGGCTCAAGAACTGTGCAGCAGCTTGTAGAAGCTGGGAAAGGCAAGGAAGGAACCAGCACAGCTCTGACTACACTTTGGTCCAGAACTTTCATAACCAATTTAGGTTGTGTTAAGCCAAAAGTTTGTGGTAATTTGTTACATCAGCATTAGGAAACTAATACAGCTTCTGAGAAAAGGGACAAGTACATAAAAAAGAATGACAAATAATAAGCAATATTTTTTCTTAAGTTTCTGTGAATTGAGGTAAAATTCATATAACATACAATTAATCATTTTAAAGTATATAGTTCTGTGGGCATTTGGTATGGTAAAAATGTGTGAACACCACTTCTATTTAATTGAAACAAATACAATCAGACAATTAGGTTTTTTTTTTCTTTTAATTCCAGCTGGTTAACAGGATCAGGTGATTGTAACTGTTAAATAGAAACTATTTAGAGTTTCTATTAATAAATCCAAGTCATGCGTTTAATTTTGGGGGCTTAAGGGTCAAGCATTAAACCCTTGTGTTTTTCCTCTAAAGTTGGGATTAACAGAACAATTAATGTGGAAGTGATATGGATGAGGCTGAATTAGCATGAGTTGCATTCTCAGTCGAATGTGGCTTATAAAACATAGCCCCAAGTGAAACTGCAATTACCTGTCCCCTAAATAAAACAGGAATGTCCCCCTCCTTAGATTCTGTCTTCTACGTTACTACATAATAGGGAAAATACAAGGGTGTATCTTCTTAGGAGGAGGGGGGTCTGAAATAGAAAGACAAAGAGAAAGGGACAGACAGAAAGACTGACAGAGGAAGACACAAAGAAGTGTGTGTAGGAAAGGCAGAGCTACATAAGGAGAGAGAAACAAAGACAGATATAGAGACAGACAATCAGGGAGAGAGAAGTAGGGAGAGATAACCAACAACATCAGTGTCCCCTGCTAGAAATGATGAATCTTCGGAGCCATCTCAAAACTAGTGAGTCCAAAATACACAAACATTTGAGAAGCCCTGCTCTAAGTCTTTTTTTTTTTTTTCATTTTAAAGAGTTTTATTACACGATGTTAATATTCAGGACACTTCAGAGCACCTTATACTTCTAATCAGATATTTGGTAACTGGTTTTAAAGTGTTACTTGAGTATTTTTCTCATACTGGCTTTCAGTCAAAAATACTACTTAGTGATTGTTTAAGAGATGTTAATTTGATTAAACAGTTATCCTTAGTAACCTGAGACATCAATCCATGGATAGCTTCTATGGTAGTTTTATAGCTGTTTCTTGTAGCTTTGGCAAGTTTGTCTTCCGACTTTCTGTCATGTGTTTCTAAACCCAACATGAAACTCCCTCGTCCCAGCTGGGCTTCTGACTGTTCTAATTTTTCAGACAAATCAAAGACCTGACCAGTGGTATAGTCTGCATTAGTAAGCAAACTAGAGGAACTCAGCATATTCACCCAGTATTTATTCCACAAAAGCTCAAGCAATTTGCGATCCAATGAGGATTTGAAATATGAGACTTCTAAGGCATAATATGGTTTGCAATGTACACCAAAGTCTTCTATTTTATTAAGTGGGATAGTCTGGTACTCAGAAGGTTCTTTATCAGGGGGTTTGTAGCCCTTTGGGTATGTCCTAAAGGCTTCAAGATTCACTTTTTCTGCAGATATTGTTCTTGTTGGGTCAATTACTACGGCTATGAATGGTGCCTGGAACTGCTGCTTGAGCATCTGAGCACTAACATCAACCCCAGAAAGCCAGCAGCCATAGCCAGGATGGCTGTGATACCAGCCAATTGCATTTTCAAGGCCACCAACCTGTTTGGCATTTTCTATATACGCAGCCATGTACTCATATGCAGCAGCCTGAGCACTTACTCGGGTTTCAGTGCCCTCTACAGGCAAAGCAAAACTGTCCATAATGATCATGGTTTCACCATCCACCTTTCCCAGCATTAAGCCCATCACTTCAAGTTGCCTCCTGATCTAGCATGCATCACCATTTTCAGTAGAGCCAATGCTGAGATGTTGCAGTACTTAAAGTAATGGTGACTCGCTAGGTTCCGGGGTGTGGGCTTCGGACCCTTCCCACCACAGGTGCAAACTCGTACTAGTCTCGGAAGGTAGCCATGACTTGCTATAAGTCCTTTGAGGGTAGTTTGTGTTTGTTTATTTTTATGATCCTTACACCTAAAAATGGTATATGGTACAGAGTAGAAACTCAATAAACATATATAAAATACTTTAATTTTTTAAACTAATGTAAGAACCACTTTGTTTACTGCCCCACATGATTGGGAGCAATGACATAGCCAGCCCCCCTAGACTCCTGACAGCATGTCCATAGCACTTTGATAGGAAATAAATTCTAATGACTACTCATATCATTTGCCCAAATCAGACAATTACATCCTGAAAAACAGTTTAAGAAAAAATAGGGGTGTATGGAAAGGGGAAGAAAAAGCGCTATTACTGTTATGTGTATCTCATACCAATATAAGTTTGTGGGCTCACAAGTATTTTTTCAAGAAAAATGGATTAAAAATGCAGTATATTTCTGAGGTTATAAAAGTAACTATGTAGCTTCAAATTTTGAATAAATTAGAGATATATTTTCTCTGGTTTCAAAAATAGTTTTGCTATTTTAAGTACTGGCATTTTTACTGATTTTATTTGGTCATTTAAAGTTTGGAGCATCTTAATATACTGAACATTTGACAATATTTCATTAAAATGTATTGGCTTATTGCTTTAGTTTGCTATATGTAAGCAAAGAAAAATGCTAACCAAGCTAAAATTTCTGCATACCCACAGGCCATGTTACAAACAGTTGATGTGAATGTAAACAATGTATCCACTGAATGCTTACATATTGGACTTCTACAAACATGGTTCCCTGTTAGCACTGATTGAGGGTAATTTTTATGACCTTTTCTATTTTAACATTCTTTACAGACATATTTGCTTAATTAATGTTTAATGTGGTATGACATTATGACGTGAGAATAATTTTAAGATGCAATAATTTTAGAGGTCATTAATATCTAAATTATTTTAGACTTTTTAAAATACGATTTACTACTGTTATTATTGTGGTGAAGTTTACATAACATTAAATAAAATAAACCACTCTGAAGAGAATTATTTAACATTTGGTACATTCATAGTTGTGCAACAATTAACTCTATCTAGTTACTAAACATTTTCATTAACTCAAAGGGAAATTTTGTGCCCATTAAGTGGTAACTCCCATTCTCTCATTCCTTCATTCCCGCAACCTCTGGCAACTACCAATCTGTTCTCTGTTTGTATGGATTGACTTACTCTGGATATTTAATATGAATGGAATCACCCAATATAGGTAGCCTTTTGTGTCTGACTTCTTTCACTGTAATATTTCAAGGTTCATACCTGTTACAGCATTAACAGTACTGCACTTCTTTTTATACCTGAATACTATTCTTTTGTATGTTATACACAATTTGCTTATCTAGTTGATGGATATTTGGGTTGTTTCGATTTTGGGTTATACTAAATAGTACTTCTATGAACATACATGTACATATATTTATTTGAGTACTTGCTTTCAATTCCTTGGGTATATGCCTAGGACTACAATGGCTGGATCATATAGTAACCATATGTTTAACTTTTTGAGAAACCTTACCACATCTGTAATTTTCCTTTTTTTAAAAAAAATTATAGCCATTCTAGGTGGTATGAAGTAATATATATCTCATTGTGGTTTTGGTTTGCATTTACCTAAAAACTAACGATGTTGAGCATCTTTTCATGTTATGACACAATGTATATATTCTCTTTGGAAAAGTGCCTATTGAAGTCCTTTACCCAATTCTAATTATGTTGTTCTTTTTGTTCTTGATTTGTAGATATTCTTTGTATATTTTAGATATAAACCCTTACCAGATGTATGATTTGCAAATATTTTCTCCTATAAGGTATCTTTTCCTTTTCTTGTTAATGTTCTTTGGTACACAAAAGTTTTTCATTTTGATGAAGCCCAGTCTGTTTTTTCTTTTGTTGTTCACGCTTTTGGTGTTATATCTAAGGATTCATTTACAAATCCATATTAATGAAGATTTATCCCTACGTTTTCTTTCCTTTTTTTTAAAGATTTATTTATTTTGAGAGAAAGAGAGAGAGAAAGAGAGGGATAGTGGGGGGAGGGGCAGGTAGGGGGAGAGAGAGAGAGAGAGAATTTCAAGCAGATTCCCTACTGAGTACAAAGCCTGAAACAGGGCTCAATCTCATGACCCTGAGATCATGACCTGAGCTGAAATCAATAGTTGGACCCTTAACCAACTGAGCCACCCAGAAACCGCTCTACCTATGTTTTCTTATAGGAATGTTAAGGTTTAGCTGTTAAATCCATTTGAATAAGTTTTGATATATATCACTGATACATTTTGAATAAATTTTGATATATATATATGGCTTTTAAAAAAATTTATTTATTTATTTGACAGAGAGAGAGAGAGTTAGCAAGAGCAGGAACACAAGCAGGGGGGGTGGGAGAGGGAGAAGCAGGCTTCCTGCTGAGCAGGGAGCCCAATGCAGGGCTCGATCCCAGGACCCTGGGATCATGACCTGAGCCGCAGGCAGATACTTAACGACTGAGCCACCCAGGTGCCCCTATATATGGCTTTTAAAACAGGGAAGTGTCTCTTACAAATTTGTTCTTTGTATTCAACATTGTTTTGGCTATTCAATGTCCTTTGAGGTTCCATTTAATTCAAGGATTCTTTTCTACTTCTACAAAAGGGGCTATGGGAATTCTGCTGGGGATTGCAATGAATCTATAGATTCATTGGGTAGCGTTGTCATTTTATCAATATTAACTCTCCCAATCCATAAACAAAATGTGTACTTCCATTTTTTAACTCTTCTTTAATATCTTTCAGCAATGTTGTAGTTTTCAGCGTACAAGTCTTTATTTATCCTTGGATAAATTTATTCTTAAGTATTTTATTTTTTTTGGTGCTATTATAATGGGATTTTTTTCTTTAATATACTTTTCAGGAAATACCTTGGTTGTGTGTAGAAACACAACTGATTTTTGAGTGTTATTATTGAACTCTACAACTCTAAAATTTATTAGCTCTAATACTTATTTTGTGGATTCTTCAGGGTTTTCTATATATGGGATCATGTCATCTGTGAGGTGTTTAGCTTTCTCCTTTCCAATTTGGATGCCTTCTTTTTTATTCTTCTTACCTAATTGCTCTGGCTAGTACCACCTGTAAAATGTTGAATAGCAATGGTGAAAGCAGACATTCTTGTTTTGTTGCTGATTTTAGGAAAAAGCTTTCAGTCTTTTATCACTATGTTAGCTGTGAGTTCTTCATAAATGTTCTTTCTTGTGTTGAGGAAGTCCTCCTGTATTCCTGGTATGTTGAGTGTTTTTATCGTGAAAAAGACTTTTTTCTAATGTTATCCTGTATTAACTCAGGTGATCATGTAGCTTTTTTTCTCACCTTCATCTATTAATGTAGTATATTACATTGATTGATTGTCTTATGTTGAATCACTCATGCATTCTTGGATAAATCCCACTGAGTTATAGTGTATAATCTTTTAAACATGCTGTTGGACTCTATCCTTGTATTTTGTTGAGGATTTTGCATCTATATTTATAAGGGATATTGGTGTGTACTTTTCTTGTGATGTCTCAGTCTGAATTTAGTATCAGGCAATACAGGGCTCCTAGAATAATGAGTTAGGACATATTTATTCCTCTTCTGTGTTTTGGAAGAATTTGAAAAAGATTGGTACTAATTCTTCTTTAAATGTTTAGTAGAATTTGCCAGTGTAGCCAGCTGGTCTGGACTTTTCTCTTTTGGGAGGTTCTTGATAACTGATTCAATTTCTTTGAATTCTTATTAGATTTTCTATTTTGAGTTGGCTTTGATAATTTATGTATTTCTAGGAATTTGTCCATTTAATCTGGATTATATATATATTTTTTGGTGTACTGTTAGCTGTTCATAGTACTCCTTATAATCCTTTGTATTCCTGTAGCATCAGTAGTAATATCCCCATGTTCTTTCTGATTTTATTTATTTACATCTTTTTTATTTTCTCTGTCAATCTAGCTATGTTTGTCAATTTTGTTGATTTTTTTCTGAGATCCAAATTTTGTTTTATTGAGCTCTCTATTGTTTTCCTGTTCTCTGTTTTATCACCAACTAATCTTTTTTATGTCCTTCCTTCTGCTAGCTTAGATTTTAGATTACTTTCCTTTTTCTAGTTCTTTAGGGTATGAATGAATGAAATGAAAATGAAAATGAAAAAAGCATTAACTGGTATAAATTTCCTCTGAGCACTGTTTTCTCTGTGTCCCATAAGTTTTGGTATGTTGTGCTTTAATGTCATTTATTTCTGAGTGTTTCCTAATTTTCCTGGGATTTTTTTCTCTGACCCATTGTCTGCTGTTTAATTTCCATATATTTGTCAATTCTCCAATGCCCCTTCTTAAGCTATATGATTTTTAATCATATAAATTTAAGCTTATGGGATTAGTTTAACCTTCTTAATCTTAATGATTTTTAGCTTCACTCCTTTATGGCCTGAAAAGATACTTTGTATGACTTAAGTATTTTTAAATATATTGAAACTTGTTTTGTGGGCTAACATATGATGTCTTCTGGATAATATTTGTACATGTTCTGCTTTTGTTGGGTATGTTGTCCATTGGGTCTAGTTGGTTATGGTGTTGTTTAAGTTAGTTATTTCCTTACTGATTTTCTATCTAAACGTTCTATCTATTATTGGAAGTAGGGTATTGGAGTCTTTATTATTTTAGAACTGTCAGTTTCTTCCTTCCATTCTGTTAATGTTTACTTCATATATTTGAGGGTTCTTTTATGGGGGGTTTATATATTTTTAATTGTTATATCTTCTAGCTGAATTAAACCTTTTATCAATATATAATGTCTTTTTAAAATCTCTTGTAACAGTTTTTTTTTTTAAATTTATTTTTTTATTCCAGAGAGAGAGAGAGGGAGAGTGGGATGGGGGGTGGAAAACAGAGGGAGAGGGACAGAGAGAGTCCCAAACAGACTCCTCCCTGCTGAGTGTAGAGCCCAGTGTGGGGCTTAATCTCACAATTCTGAGATCATGACCTGAGCCAAAATCAAGAATTGGACGCTTAACTGACTGAGCCACCTAGGCACCCCCTCTTGTAACAGTTTTTGACTTAAAATCTATTTTGTCTGATATTAGGGTAAGCTACTCAGTTCTCTTTTATTTGCTATTCGTATGGAATATGTTTTTCCATCGTTTCACTTTTAACATCTTTGTGTTTTTGGATTCGAAGTGAGTCTCTTACAGTCAGTATATAGTCAAATCATGTTTTTTTTTTTAATCCATTCTGCAATCTTCATCTTTTGATCTATTTACATTTAATCTATTTTACATATAAAATAATTACTGATTATGAAGAACTTACTTTTGTTGTTTTAATATTTGCTTTTTATAAGTTTTATGCCTTTGTCTTGTTTGTTTCTCAGGGATAGTTTCCAGTAATTTCATCTGTTAATTAGTATACTTTTATGTTTTTTCATGCTTCATAAATTTTTTTGAGAATTGTATGTTTTGAATATTATGATGCAGTAATTCTAGAATTTTTTTTTCTTCTTAACATTTGTTTTTGTTTCTAGCTGTTCACTGTAGCTGTAGTTTAGTGGCTTTTCTAAACAATTTTTTAATGTCTATATTCTTCATCATGTGTGGTCTCTGAAGTTCCTGCTTCTTTAGCTTGTATTCTGGCACTGTTTTGACAGAGATTTCTTTGAACACAGGAATGAGCAAGAATGAGAGAAGAAGAGGGGGAGAAGGAGGAATTAAGAAAAATATTTCTCCCACATTTTGTAGCTTGGCTTTGTGCTGGGATGCCCTTTCAATATTTAGATGATTTACAACTCTGCCTCGCCCTTCACTTTCTGCTTGGACTAATCCTAGAGTCCAGTCAATTGAAAGCTTAGGATCTTCTCAAGTGTTTTTAGCCATGTGTCCTGCCTTAGGCATGTGCATGGCTTTCTAAATCCCCCTATGTATGGGGAATGTATAGATTTCCCAAATCTTCTTCACAGGTTTTCATTACTTAATTACTTAATTACTGCTTCAACTGTAATCTTTTGCCCTAGACAGCTGCAAGTGGTTCATTTATCTTACGATTTTTCCTCCTTGAGTGAATTCTGAGTTGGACAAAACAAAGACAAGTGCCTCAACTTGGTCCTTTAAGGAGCTCCCAGACAGAACAGACAGATAAACATATTCTTTGTTAACAAGCCAGATCTGCTTCTTCTAGAACAAGGAACCAGCGGTCCACCTTGGGGATAGGCTGCTGTCTTCAAAACTGTAAGTGAGCTGGGAGGAGGATGGGGAAAGAATAAAAATGCTTTTTTTTGAAAAAAACTTTTCCTATCTTCTGTAACTTTTTTCTTGATTTAGACATAATTACTATTTTCCAGAGTTCTGACAAAGTTAATTCTGACAGTTTTTGCATGATTATTTTTGAAGCTTCTGTGGAGGGATGGGCCCTTACAGCAACCTACTCTGCCATTTTCAGTGACATCACATATTTGGCACTGTTGTTAACATATGTGAAATATCTAACTTTGGTGATAATAATATGCTATTATATAAGAACACTAACAGTCATATTTTCTTAGCTAAATTATTAGCCTCTTTACAAATTTAACCTATTTAGGGCTAAACTGAGCGTAGTAAAATACTGAATGCAATGGACATAAACATGTCTCTGCAGCCTTTCCATATCTGATTTTATTTTGTCTCTGGAATGGCCAGCAATTCATTGGTAATTTACTTTCCTTTACCGGAGATTGGTAACACACCGAAAGCAAATTTATTCCTTTAAATTTTTTTTCCCCCATAGGTTAAATATGGGAGATGTTTTTTAATTTAATCAGAGATATTTCACTTGTTATTCAGTCCATCAGGTATAGTAAACATTTGAAGATGATATAAACAGCTAAATAACATTAAACACAAATAACAATGATAATAATTTAGACACTTTTTTACAGGACTTCACTAAGTGAATTATGTAATGGTGAAGATGATAATGTTGTATTGGCATTTAAACAACTAAGTGAAGCATTCAAGACAAAACTTTGGAAAAAAAGACATTGACAATGTTGATCTTTACCCAAGCACTGTGATCCTGGAAAATAGAGATGATCAAGAAATTTCCCCACCCATTTGTGTTTCAGAAAATGGCTTATAACATGGAACCATTCTTTCTTATATGACTCAGATAAGACTTGCAGATGACCCCCTGTTTACCAATAACAGTCCTCAATACACCCTTCAAATTCCTATTCTTTGCCTCATAAATGATTAGTTGAACTGTTTTCCCCTACTGGCCAATCTGGACAAAATGCATGCTAACTTGACTAAACTTTACTCAGGTTTCTTCCCTCACCACAGGTCCCTGGACTTTAATCCACCCTTTAGCTCCTGCTGAAAACTAACTAGAGGCATTCCCGGATCAGCTGTCCCAGATCAACTGTCCAATCTCAGATCAAAGACTGGCAATGTTAACCAAGACATTCCCAGAGGAATTGTCCAATCATACCACAAATTCATCCCATTCCCCCACACCTGATTCTTTCTAGTCTTGTTTATTCATCCCTATAAATTAAAAATCCTTTTCTGGCTGACCCTTGAGATCCCTGTAAACCCATATTCAGAACATTCTCTTTGTTGCAGTAGCCCTTCTTTACCTATTGCAGCTCCTATCCCCACTTATTGCAATAGACTTTTTGAATAAAATCCCTCCCTGTGTAAGTCCAGATTTGTTTTTGATTCAATAACAGCATGCCTTACCAAAGAAATAAAAGGTATTACCTAGCAAAAGTATAAATTTCACAATTTATTGAACTATTTACACAAAAATGTCCTAGCAAGGAAATTTTTTAAATACCTAAATTCTCAGTAGGAATTCTAACATTTTTCTTGTATTAAAACTCTTAACTTAAAAATTATCTGGAAGAATAGCTATGCTAATTATCTCAAATAATTACTACCTTTGACTGAAATGTTAAAGATTTTTTTAAAGATAAAAATTAAAGTCAATTTTAAATGATATGACATCATACATCATAGCAGTAAGTTGAAATCTTGAAAGTGATTTCAGAAGTCTAATTTTTCTTAAATGTTTCATGTTGTGCCCAGTCACTGTGTTCTAAATGTCCTGAATCATTTCACCTCTAAGAAAACAGGTTCTGAATACGTTTTTCACTTCTCCTGAGACTGGTGAAGACAGATCTACAGGGACTGGGCTACAGGTTATTGAAAAAAACCTTCCATGTGGAACAGAGCACTCCTCTCAACTTTGCCAGGTCATCTAGATTTATTGCATGTGTCCTCATTTTCCTAGCTTGACTTCATTAACTGCTGTTTCCTGTGATCTTGGGTTTTGTGTTTTCCCTTATATATATTGGGAGGCTTCTGTTGTGGACTCACCCATCTCTGTTTCTGCCTTTATTCTTGGCTAGTTTGTGGCATCAGTCTAGATTCTCTCCCAAATCTGACCTCAGTATTTTTCCTTTGCTGTTCCTAATTTACTGAATCTTCAGACACACAAGGGGCCAGGCTTTATGGATGGTACAAAGCACATAATAACTTCCAAATGGCTTTGATGCTGATGTTAAGAAAGGAAAACAAAAACAATGAGCAATGACTTTTCTGACATTGCATGGACAAATATTGGGTTGGTTAGGCACTCACATTAAAAAAAAAAAAAATTAGCTAGAGATAAACTGCCTTTACCAGAATGGTTGTCAAATACACACAGCCCCACCTCAAACATGTCTGCACTCACACACAGATCCATACACCAATTTTTACATCCAGGTCTCTTACATATCAAAGCCTGACAAGCATCTATATGGTTGCACTTTGCTGTTTTATATCTTCATTTTCTTTTAAATAAAGGCAGCTTTAGATGTTCACTTTAGTTTTATTGCATTTGTACAAAAATCTTGAAAATTTCTCTAAGGGGGTTGGTCACACACCATGTTTTCCTCTTCCCAAGCATGCTAAGGACAGCTGTGAGCAGATTTTCTTGTTGTAGGGAATTGACAATTCACATTTAAATAAAATATATTTCAATGAAATTGTTTTTATTATTCCATTGTTTCATTATTCCATTTAGTAAATTGCTGATTTGAATGATAAGTACAAATCCAGTCTCATATAGTTTTATCAATAGATTTTTTTTTTGGCTTAGAATGATTTTAAAGATAGAAGAGAAAATATGATTCTATCGTTTTGCTATAATGCATCTAACAAGGCAAACATATCACAAACTCTGTATTTTGACATGTCTGTAAATAAGAGTGCAGTGTCCTCCACATCCTTCTTTTGACTTAGTAGTCTTCAGCATCACCGGCACAGATGGCAAGCAGAGCTTTCTCATAATGCCCTGAAGCAAAATTCTGAAACAAACAATGTATTTGAAATAAAATGTCATAGTATTTCTAAAAAGAAGCATGATTCCTCTGAATTATAATGAGAAAGATCCATGGGCCATTAGCGTTTCCAAAATTGTTGACTCTTTCTATCTAAAGATTTAATATGTTCTGAGAACTATTCCCAGGGGAAGTTATTGAAAAATAATACCATGGTTATAGTCAATAGAATAGGGTTTATATAAAGTTTATTGAATCCTAATGTGTATTTATGAAAAGAATAACTCACAGTAGAATTAAATCTCCTCAACTTTAAAAGCAGTGTCTTAATATTATTGTTATAAATCAGTTGAGAGTCTGTAGGGCAAATTGACAATATGCCTCCAAAGACTTAAAAATGTTTATACTTCCTAGTGCAGTAATTCTACTTCAAGAAATATATCCTAAGGAAATAATGATCAATTATTGAAGAGCACAAAAATGTACACTCAAAAATATAGACAACATTATATAGAATAGTGAAAAAGTAAAAAGCAGTATTTAATAATGTGGGGTAGTTTATGTATTTTTTAACTTATACAGTGGAATACCATGATTCAATAAAAGTATTCCTTTATGTAGTAAACCATATTAATGTTTACATATATTTTTAAAAAGATAGCACCTACAATAACATTTCATTACTGATTGTCTATGGTGGAGAAAAAGGGCAAGTTTTATCTTCTTTTTATGGTCTTCTGTAGTTTCTAAGATTTTCAAGACAATAATAGTAAGAAATAAATGGAATTATAAAACCTATGTTAAAAATCAACTATCATATTAATGTTCTCTCACACAAAGTCATGCAATTACAATTCACTGTTTTAAATGCATATAGTAAAGTTACATTAATTACATGTAGACTTTGAGGTGGCTTGGTTAATTGCAGTATATATGTTAGAATTAGTTTATTTATTTAGAAAATGAGTTATGACATGTATTTCTCAATAAGAAATGTTTATTGCCGCTAAAAGTTTAGGGTTTTGAAGGTAGGTGCAAGGAGAGTTTTATCAAAACAAAGGAATAAAATTTCTCCTAACTGCTGCAATGCCTCTTTTTAGAAAACACTTTGGCTATGCAAAGGCTTACAGGGTCTTCTGTATTTTTATGGTCGTTTGGTCTTTAGGTTGTCAAGTTGCTTCTGGATCACTTTTAATAAACTAAAAAGCTATTTTATGCAATTGAAAATTTCAGTGTAAAGCAATGTGAACAGGTAACAGCCCTTAGCTATGTGCAAATTATAAGGCAAGATTTATTTTCAGGGCCCTGTGCTTGGTTTAATGCTCTGCTGATGCCATCCCTAAATTCTTTATAAGTTTTTGAATGAGAGGTCAAATATTTTAATTTTAGATGGGGTGCCAAAAATTACATATGTAGCCCCAAGGCTTTGCTAGGTTTTATCAAAATCCAGAATAAAATTTAGACATATCAGAATGGGTAGGTTGGTTTGTTTACTTCTGAATCATTGCTGCTTTGCCCTTCAAGGGCTAAAGGGATAGGAGTGCATAGAATTTTACATAACTATCAGTGTTAAGTCCCTCCAAGTTACCAGTTTATGGGATTCGACCTGCTGCGCTGCATTCTATGACAGTATGAGAGCTGAACTGACCTAAGAAGCCTCTTTACAGTTAGTGTGGCCTTACTGCAAAACGTTATTTTTCCTGATACTGATCACGCTTCAAAATTTAACTCACGAAGCACAATTACACAATTAGGGGATGAATGTTTTACATGACTCCATCAACAACTTTTGTTTGAAACACATCGAAGAGAAACAAATTCTGTTACTGAGGTGAAGGGGTTTCCTAACGTAGCCCCCGGTTGACGCACTAAAGGCTGTCTGATGTACCAAAGTAGATCATCTTTGTCAGAATAGTTAGCTTTTTAGACTCCAACATGAAGTTACTTAAATTAAAGCTCTTATTTCAGTTTCAAAAAGGATAAAATCTGGGACAAAATAAATCACGTGTAGGAGATTTACTTTGATGTCATGAAACAGGGATTTTCCGTATCTCTCTTTGTATCGTTTTCTGATGGTCATCAGATCTATTTCGCTTCTGGCGATTAGAATCCTGATTACGGTTTTATTATGGAAACCGAAGTCCTGAAAGATACGGAAGAGGAGAGAAAAAAATTAGAAAACAGTACCTTAAAGTTAATCTATCTAATACAGACTCATCCTCTTTTCTGTGGCCATTTATTCATCCTTTACTCCTCAAACACTGACATGGCGATCGGGGGAGTAGGGGCCCAAGTCTGACTCCGTCCCCTCTGAGACTTCTCCCTCTCTCATACGGTGTACATACGGTGAAGTATTCTACCTATTTGACTTCTTTCCTTTGCTTTACTTATGTATTTTGTTGAAGTATAATTGACATACTATTGCCTCTTAGTTCCAGATGTACGTCACAGTGATTCAGTATTTTTATACGTTACAAAATGATCCCCATCGATCTAATTTCTTACCATACAGTTTTTCGCCAAACATTTATTACAATATTATTGACTACATTCCCTATGCTGTATATCACCATGATTTATTTATCTTATAACTGGAAGTTTGTACCTCTTAATCCCCTTTAGCTATTTTGCCTGTTTCTCCACCCCTCTCCCTCAGTGACCAATAGTTTGTTTCCTGTATCTGTAAGTCTGTTTCTGCTTTGTTTATTCATTTGTTTTGTTTTTTAGCTTCTACACATAAATGAAATAATATGCTATTTGTCTTTCTTTGACTTATTTCACTTAGCATAATACCTTCTAGGTCCATCCATGTTGTTGCAAATGGCACGATTTCATTCTTTTTAATGGCTGAGTAATATTCCTGTGTGTGTGTGTGTGTGTGTGTGTGTGTGTGTGTGTGTGACAGTCTTTATTGATGTACACATAGGTTATTTCTTGGCTATTGTACATAATACTACAATGAACATGGAGGCACTTATATCTCTTCAAATTGGTGTTTTTGTTTTCTTTGAGTAAATACTCAGAAGTGGAATTGCTGGATTCTATTTTTGAGTTTTTCAGGAAACTCAATACTGTTTTTCATATTGACTGCACGAATTTACATTCATACCAACAGTATATGAGGATTCTCTTTTCTCCACATTCTTGCCAACACATGTTATTTTTTGTCTTTTTGATAATAGCCAGTCTGGCATGTGTGATATCTCACTGTGGCTTTGATTTGCATGGCCCTGATGATGAGTGATGTTGAGCATCTTTTCATGGGCCTGTTGGCCAGTTGCCTGTGGTGGGACTGCTGAAGCTGGTGTGGGTCAGGGGCCCGGGGCATGCTGGGGCCACCCTAGCAGGCTGGGTAGAGCATCTGGACCCTGTTTCTGTCTCTGCTATCAAGGTGGAGGGGGATTGTGAAAATTGGTGCTCATTCACACATAAGACCCTAGAGAGGCTTCCCACAGTTCCTCACCCATTTGGTGGATGTTTTAAGGTTAATGAATGAATTTCCTTTACTTATAGTCTAGTTGCCCTTTAAACTGCTGTGTCTTCACTGTGCCCAGGGCAGGTGAGTCTGTGCACGGGGACCTCAGTGATATCCCTCCCTATTATAGGTCTTTGTGTAGAGGTTACTATGTCTCCAACTCTCCTATCCTTCTCTATGCGGACCCTTCATTATTTGTTGTGCAGAAGCTGTTCAGCTTTCAGTTCTTCAGGCGGAATTGCTCTATATGTAGGTGTAGATTTGGTGTGTCAGTTGGAGGAGGTGAGTTCAGGGGCTTCCTACATCAGCATTTGGGCCCCCTTTCTATGTTACTTCTTAAATGTCCCATATCTATTTCCAGTGTAACTGCCTTGATGCTGGCCCATATCCTTTCACCCTGATTCTGCAACAGTTCCTTTTAGCCCCTGGCCAACCCTCACACTCTCTCCTTCCTGATTCTGCAACAGTTCCTTCCTTTTAGCCTGGTGTCCCTCACACTACATTATAAAATACAAATCTGATCATGTGCTCTTTCTAGGTAAAAATTCTAGGCCAGGGAGGGAGGTGGGTTTTGAATTATGTTAGATGAACTTTGATATGCCTGAGTGAGACAGCAATTACATTTTTATTTTACAGTCTATTACTAAAAATTGTAAAAATAAAAATTCCAGGTATTTGAAATATTTTTGGATTTAAACTCAAATACTGAAAAATACAAAAATAAATTTTTGTATACTAGCTCCAGAAAAAATATTGCTTTATAAACCAATTTCAACTTGTCTTTTCAAATGGAGTAATGGGGACATCCAGTGGCCAGTGAGCATAGTGTAAATATATATATACATATATATATGTATATCTATATTTGAGGATAATAAAATTTTTGATGTCTGAATGTTTTGGATATAGACCTCTAAGCAATCTTTTCACAATTTGATGTGATTAAATTAAATGATTTATCCAAGTTTCCATATTTAGGTTGTATATCATTTACTTAGAGTGCACTAGAGAAAAATACCTGTAGTTTTCTTTGGTTAAGGGTAATATAAACAGCTTTGACCAATATTTTACATTTGAGGTCATTATATATCAAAAATTCAATTATTTAAGTATACAATCCTCCTCTTGTGAGTACATGTATATTCATTTTTGCATTGAAACACACACAGAAGGAATAGAATTTTTATTTATTATTAGAATAAGTAGCCCTCAATTTGGACAGATTTGGAACCAGACTAATTATGTTTATTTCCCCATGGTCATTCACAAGTGAAACTTCATTCTATTTTTTGGAGAAGGACATTGTTGAAATCATTCCATAACATTGTCCAATATATTATTTAAGATTTTTTTAAATCAAGTCAACTTTTTCTGCTTGGAAATAGAAAAAGATAGAAGTGAAGTCTGTGACCACAGGATACATGTGTTTTGAGGATACATAAGTTGGTTCTTGTACATAAATAAAAAATACACTTTACACAAGATATATAATAGAAATATTCTCGACTGTTATCATATTATCCCAGCATGCTAGTTACTTTTAATAAGTTGGTCTGGAAAAATTACTTTGCGGATAAAACATTGACTCTTAAAATTACTGTATTACTGACTTTAAAAAAATAATTTTCACCGAGTTTTTGAAGGTATGATATATGTATAATGGTTTGTATCAGAACTTTCTTTTTCTAAAAATGTGTTATGCACATTATGGATAAAATGCGCATTGTTTCATGCATTTAAGTGTTTGTTTCTTTAAAAATAAATGTACCGAAGGATGTGTGATTGACTATCACACTAAACTATGAACAACATTCTCATTTAATTACAAAATAGATTTAGAGTTTGTTGTTATCAGCCATCTCTTTTTAAAGTACTTTTTAAAATAACACTTTAGGTTTAAAAATAACCACTGCCATTATTTCATGTTTTTAAATTTCAGAAATGTATTAATTTCTTACTAAGGGTTTATAATGTTTTGACATTTCCTGCTTGACACTTTATGTTTTGTACTTGAATTAAGTATGAAATAGGGGTCTTTGGCAAAATACAAAAGCTTTTGGATTTGCCAGTTTATTCATATGCTAAGAAGAGCTAAAGCACATGGGGGAGATAGGTCCCAGGGAGTCATACTTCTCAGGTAACTCAATTTGATGCAGAAAGCAGAGTATTATTTATTTGGTGGTTCTTATTTTGGTGTATAATACATTTTTTTTCCACTTGAGCATATTTTGTTTGAAATGAATATATTTGCATACAAGTTCAAAAATGTTTAAATAATAAAAGTAAACCTAGTGCTTTGAGAAAGTAGACATGATTTTCTGGGGAAATTTTAAAAATATGTGGGTCATACTTACATGGATTGCACTATATAGTCTATAAGCAAAATAGGCTGGTTTGTCTCGAATACAGAGAACTAGGAAAAATCAGAGAAAAAAAAGAAAGTTTGAGAGTGACGATATATATTTTCTTCAGAATTTGGGAAACAATGAAAGCACTTCTTTTTTTCTGTTAAAATCCTGGGAGAGTGAAACTTTTTGAGTCCTATGCGGGATCCCTCATTGTACATTGTAGTGAAATTTCAATATTTAGAATGGTGGTAAAACCATAACCTATAGAAAAAGGTAAAGTAACAATATTATAATGACTCATTCAGATTTTCATTTAGTCTATCTCTTAGAGATCTCTTAGTTCCTTCACAGTGTCTAGTAAAGAAAAATGTGTCCCTTTTATCTGAAAGTTAAATAAAGCTTCAAAGAGACCCAGGTTATCACCACTATTATAGATTTTTATTATTATAGAATTCAATATGCAATTGATTCACTTTCCCGAACACTATTTTTAATCCCTTGTAGACTTATGAATAGATCTGAGGTCTTTCTCTCTTGTTTTTAAAGATTTTTAAATTTATTTGAGAGAGAGAAAGAGAGACAGAGACAGAGAGTGGGTGGGGGAAGGGACAGAGAGAGAGAATCTCAAGCAGACTCCCCATTGAATGTGGAGCCTGCCACATGGGGCTGGATCTCACGACCCTGAGATCATGACCTAAGCCGAAACCAAGAGTCAGATGCTCAACCAATTGAGCAACCCAGGCACCCCAAATCTGAAGTCTCTTAAAAACAAAACAAAACAAAACTGGATGGGCGATAAGGGGCCTGGACCAGTGTTAGGAGTCATCTTACCAAAAGCATTATGGCATTAGAACCACTTACAGCCTAGTGAATTGTTGTACTTGACGGAGGTCAGTTGATGATTATTGACATTCAATAATGTTTATTTGAATAAGTAAATAAGTTAATAAATAAATGAGTAACATATGTGAGGCTATAACTTTTGGGCAAAATAAAGTCATCACAACAGTGCTTTCTCTATAGTTCAAATGATAATTTTAGATTGTAAGACCATGCCTTCATCTTTTACTTTTATTTATAACTGTGAACCTCATAGCACTCTTGAGTCACTGTTAGAATGTGGACACTTTGAGGAGAAGGAGCTTTTGTTGTTTTTGTTGTTTTACTGTTCCATTTGCAGGGACTGAATCAATGGACAGAATAGTAGATCACTCAATAAATGTTTATTGAATAAATGAATGAATCAGTTAAATTGTTTTCTGGTATTTCTCATTTCCATTATTTCCTCTCACCCACTGCTTTGTTTGTGGTATGGTCTATAGTGGAAAGAGAGCTATCTTGAAACTCAGATGACATGAGTTCTTGTCATAACTTTGTTGTTCATTAGTTGATAGACTTTGAAGTACTCAATTAACCTCCTTGGGCCTTTGTTGTTAAATAAGTTGTGATGTGATACGTGGTTATTAAATTATATTGAGAATTAGCCACAATAAATGCACCATATTCTCAGAAAAACACACACATATTCATATATTATATACTATTTTAAGGATTTCATAGAACCCACCAAACCTTTTTAATGGAACCCTCGCTTAAAACTCCTTTACAAACTAAGCTATAAAAATTCTGTTCCCTATAATGATGTAATGTATGGTGATTAACATAACAATAAAAAATTAAAAAAATGCACAGCAATCAAAAAAAAATTCTGTTCCCTACTATCTCCAATGCCCATGTATGTTTGTGCCATTCTAGGAATGGAAAAGCATAATGCACATTTATCCAACAAATATAAGTGATTGCTTGATGTGTCTTCTCTCTGGGGATATTTCACAAAGACCCTTCATTTGTAGTTCCTACAATGTATGCTGTCAAGTCATAGCACAGCACAAGGTACAGCATGGGTAGTTTAATAGTAGTCATTATGGATAGCTACCACTGTTTTCCTCTCTGTGGGAGGATATCTTTCCTTAGGAAAGAGATGGAGGTATGTCTTTCTCACAGTAGCCTGCAGAAATCACTACCGAGTAACAACTTGGTAAATTTTTATGGTAGAACTTACCCCTAAAGGCAAAATATTAAAGATGATGAAAAAAAAACCTCTTCCTCTTGGAGAAAAGGGAGCCATATTTCTAGCGTTTATCTGCTCTTTAACAAGGGAATGGAAATCAGTACATATAAAATGAATTTAAAGGTATGAGATCCCAGTTACCTGAGAGAATATCTGAGAATTCAGTTTCAGAGTATGAAAGTTGAACCAGCTATTAGAGAAGGGTATTTGTTCATTAAAGTTATCAAGTTGCCAGTTTAGTGCATTGTATCAGGAGTTAATGTACTTTCCTCTATAGAGTTAACATCCTTACTAAATAATTAAATTCTGGGGAAAGTGACTCAATGAAGAGCAAAGTCATGCATCTTTAATTCAATCAAGCTAATCGGCATTTATTGTGGAATGAAAGGTCTGCTGTACACCAAGTAAATTATTACTTACCAATTGCAACTAGCAACTCTTGGAAGTATCCATCATAGCATTCATTAATGGCATCTACTATGTCTTGCCCAGAAATATTTTGAAATTCCTGGAAAACTTCAACAAATTGATATAATTCAAAGGAGATTTTGTACATATTATAAATTTAAAATATAAATATTACAAATTTAAAATATAAATATTGATTAGATTGCTACAAATAGTGAAAGTAAATAAAGTATAGGGTACAGGTTGAGTTGGGGTAGGCTGTCTTTTACAATTTTTTATAGCGTTTTATTTATGTAGAAAAAACAAAACAATTTTTTTAACTAAAAGAAACAGAAAAGTATAGAGGTCAAACAATGTGCAAACTAATATGAGTGCACCTCTGAGACAAATATGGCAGCTTCACATAAATCATGACATTAATAATAATCTCCTTGACTTGTAATGGACTAGTTAAACCATGTTTACTATATTCTTTTCAAGAAAACATATAATATGCCTAATAGAAAATAGCTGATTTATTTGAGTAAGTTCTCCATCAGAAACAGAGATGATTTTAAAAGATTCAGTATTTAAAGTTTATGTAATTCAGTTTTTGGAAAAAATAAAATTGTAAGAAAATTTTATTCCTTAGTAATGTCATTAGATGAGACATGTCTGTATAAATGTAATTCAAAATAAGTACCTTTGTGATGACTAGCTTTCCTCTATATGTAATATTTACCTTTTTCTCCCTTCCAATTAACTACCTGCTTCCTATTATACTATCAGTTAAGTAGCTGAAAAGAAACCTGATTAATAATTACCCAGCCACAGTTGTTGATAACTTTTGTTGCACAGGATCATTTGCAGCATGGTTTTGTGTTCCCCTGTCTTCTGCTGACAGGCTTCCCACAGGACCTGAAACATCATACCGCTAGGAAGTAGCCCCATAACCACCCCAGACCATTTTAACAAAGGGTTTTCATAGTCACTTTGAGATCTGGTTCTTGTTACCATTGCATCCTGAGCAGCCAGAGCAGGGTCTGTATATCCTTCCTCTCTGGTTCCCTGTAAAATAAGCACAGGTTTTCCTTTGTAAATTTTCTTAATTAACAACCCATATAGGATTATTGGGACAAAAATCTTTGAACCCCCAAATACATTGGTAATTCCTAAGAAAATTCTATCATTATTTGGAGTTTACATTTGTTGAATACTATATGAAACATAGGTCCTTTTTAAAAATGTGGGTTTTATCTTTTCTTTGCACCAGTGGTCATCTTTCAAAGACGCTGAAATGTTTTTCACTCTTCTGTGCAGTTTCTTCTTCCCATCAAACTGAGCATCCAAGGCCTGGCAGTGGGTAATACAGTTGGATTTAACATTTTAGAGTGAAAATGCAGAGAAAGAATGAGTTAATATTCAGTCTCTGACTTGTCAAATAGGATACATGCAACAATAAAATAATAATGAAATCCAGATTTTGTGGTGTAAGAATATTTTACAAATCTGTATCATGCCCACCACTCCCAACCATTTATCATATAAAGAACAGACATGGCCAAGTTGATCAGAGATGTCCATTGCAAACAGGATGGAAGGAGGGTTAGCCAGTGCAGGAGCTTCTGGTCTCCAAGGATTATGACTATAAGGGGTGGAAGGAAGAGTTAGGAGACATGTGATCAGACAGTTCATTTAATGTTTCCCTTGGGTTGAGATCTGGAGGGAATGCTTTTTTCTCTTCTCTTTTCTTCTTTCTCTTCTCTTCTCTCCCCTTCCCTTCCCTTCCCTTCCCTTCTCCTCTCCTCTCCCCTTCCCTTTTGTTTTCTTTCTTTCTTTCTTTCTTTCTTTCTTTCTTTCTTTCTTTCTTTCTTCCTTTCTTCCTTTCTTCCTTTCTTCCTTTCTTCCTTTCTTCCTTTCTTCCTTTCTTTCTTTCTTCTTTCCTCTCTCTCTCCCTCTCTCTCTTTCTTTCTTCTTTCTTTCCTATGCTGAGAGAACACTGAGAATACAGTGGTTTCTGCTCCCATCATCATTTTGGACTTGGAAATAGCCACATCACAAGGAACTCAGTGATATAGCAAGATCAGGCTGAGGAAAGTCCTAAACACAACTCTTTTGAATTGACCTCAATCCCTAAGTAGCATTAATGCGTCCCAAATTTCTTATTTGCTCCTGATGGAGGAACTTGCATGCTAGCTGAGAACCTGGCTGGGGAGCTTGAAAGATGGAGTCGTTTATGACCATGGCAGGGAGAGACTGTTCCAGTAGCCAAGAGCTATAAAGTAGACCACATTGGTAGACCGTGTGGGACCTAGAACTTAGGGGATTCTTCAGCTCTGGTGAGAGTAAAGATGAGGCTAAACCATCATAGAAGGTTACTCGGCTCTGACCAAATTGAGACAGAAAAAGGATCATAAGTTAACAAGCTCCATGGTTTGGAAGCTGATACTAAGAAATGCTCATACCCTGGACATCTATATTTCATCAGCTGCATGTCCAGAGTTGTTCAGAACTACCATTCCATAGTCAAGATGAGCAAGGATGCAGAAAATATCTTCTTGATCTGAGGCACCATCACTCTCATAAAGATATCTCCTAAACTACACACAAATGCCTCTCCACCAACAGGGCCAGAAATCTGAGAGTTGAGTATTTAACTCAATAACTGTGTAAATGATACTGAACATGTACTCACATTGACTATTCAAAGTACTGTATGGATTAAATTTGTTTATTAAATTAAATATTAGGCTTTTTTCCTTGCTAACCCAAAGCTGGAAGCATATGAGAAAGATCAATTTATTCATAGAGAAATAAATAAACTACATACTTTTGTGAGTAAATCTGTAGCCCTGGAAAATTTAATATGTTTTAATTATAACTTAGAAGTTGTGTATCACTTAGAGGTGTCCCCCTAAGGAAAAGTTGATACAAACTTTTTTTTCAAGACACTGGATACATTTTTATTGAACCTTTTAGTTTAAAACATGAGGTAAAAGGAAAGCCAGTTCTCCTTAACCAATATTTTACACAAATGTAGTAAAATATTTCAAATTTTAGGGAATTATAATGGATTACATATCTTAAAAGTTGGGGATTGATTAGACAATATCCAACTTCTTGAATTTTCCTGTTGACTCTTCCTTTACAACAGTAACCAGTTCTAATTAGTTACATAAGTTTCTTCAAGGCCATGTTTTATTGTCGCTGGTGTCTTTACGTCTGAAGCATTGCTATTTCAATCAATAGCCATAATTCCACTTCAGAAATGGTTTTGCTTTGGTGGAATTTTGACATCAGGCTGTCATTTATTTCCATAGGCCCACTTTCGTTCCATCTCTAGTTGAGCCTTTTCTCTTTTACTCATAGTCAAGAGTGCTTCATCCCATCCTCTGATGACTTTGCCTATTCCAACCTTAAAACTTAAAGGCGTGGCATTTTTCTTCTCTTTTGAACTCTTTTGAATATTAGTATCAAAAACATTAGTATGGTAATTCATAGTCTTCATCTTATTTGACCTATATCAGTAGGGTTTGATGCAATTGCTCACTCTCTCCTCCTTGTTATACCTTCATCACTGGGCTTCCAGGATCCTGCGCTCTCATTTTCCTTCTTTGTACTTCCCTGGTTACTCATTCTCAATCTTATGTATTGGTCCCACCTTTTACTTTTCAGTCTCTTAATACTGGAAAGTTGTAGTACTCAGTTTTTAGTACTGCTCTTGTCTGCATGTACAATCCTTCCCTTGTTAATCTTTACTGTTCATGTGGCTTTACATTCCATCTATGTTGTAATGATACCCAATTTTACATCACTAGCTTAGATCTACCATCTGAATGTCAGATGCATATATTCCAATTGTCAACCAAACATCTTCACTTGGATTTCTAATATACATATTAGACACAACACATTCAAAATCTATCTCCTGATCTCCCTCCAACTTAAAAAACCTCTTATATCCATAACTCTCCACATTTCAGTTTATGATAACTCCACTGTTCCTACTGCTCAGACTAAAAAACTGAGTAACATTTTATTTCTTCTTTTTTACTTTATATCCTACATCCAGTTCCTCAGGAAATAATATAGACATTACCTTCAAAACACATGCAGAATCTGAGCACCTTTCATCACCACCAGAGATTTCCTATGGGTCCAAATTAATATTGTATCTTGACATTTTTTTTTTTTTTGCTGATATAGCATCCTTACAGGCTTGTTTCTATCCTGTCTCCCTACTTTTTCCTCAACATTGCATCTAGTGTGAATATTTTTTTTATTTAAATGAGTTGTCTCTGTGTGTATGTCTTTTCTCAAAGTAGACCAATAGTTTTAAAGACCAATGATGTTGAACATCTTTTCACATACTGTCATCCATTTATCTTTGGTGAAAGTATGTTCAAATATCTTTTTTCTTGTTGTTAGAGTCTTTGATTTGTTATTGAGTTTGGTTTTCTTAATGAACAGGTTTATTCAGGTATAATTGCCATGCAACAAACTGTACATATTAAAAAAAAGATCATATCATTCCTTTTCTCAAAATCCAGTAATGATTCTCCTTTCTCCATTTCATTCAGAACAGAAGCAAAAGTCCTTACAAGGCACAGATTTGAACTTTCTGACATTACTCACCACTACTATAGAACATTTTCTTGGCTTGCTCAGATGGCACCACTTGGCCTTCTTGCTATTCTTCACAACTGTCAGCCACTCCCTTGCCTTAGAACTTTCCCCTAACTTTCCCTTTGCCTGGAATGCCCTATCATTACCATTTATTTGCTGACATATTCTTTCCAAATGTTTGCTCATATCTCATCTTCTCAATGAGATTTCCCTGACCAATCTATGTAATATTGCAATCTACCTACAATTTCTATCCCCATTATCCTGCTCTGCCATATCTTTCACTGCCTTCTAACATTCTATATAATGTACCTGTTCATTAGATTTCTCTTGAATTGTTCCTATTCCTCCATTAGATTTTAAGCTTCTTAAACACTGATGAGGTCCTTGTCTCTTTTGTTCATTGACAATTCCCTATTGCCTAGAATCATGCTTGGCACATTGCAGGCACTTGACAAATACTAATTGAATCAATACTAAATGAATGTAGGAAAGCTAAAGAAATGACTTTTAGATAGTGGAATTCAAAGATCAGTTGTATTACTCCAGCATTGTAATATAACTTGAAGTCTAGAATTATGATACGTCCACTTTTGTTTTTTCTTTTTCAAGAGTGCTTTCACTATTTGGGGTCCTTTGTGGTTCCATACAGATTTTAAGATTGTTTGTTCTAGTTCTATGAAAAAAATGCTCTTGGTATTTTGATAGGGATTGCATTAAATCTGTAGATTGCTTTGGGTAGTATAGATATTTTAACAATATTTGTAATCCATAAGCATGGACTGTCTTTCCATTTCTTTGTATTGTCTTTAATTTCTTTCATCAATGTTTTATATTTTTCAGAGTATAGGTCCTTCACTTCCTTGGTTAAGTTTATTCCTAGGTATCTCATTATTTTTTTGTGCAATTGTGAATGTCATTGTTTTCTTAATTTCTCTTTCTGCTGCTTCATTATCAGTGTAATAGAAATGCAACAGATTTCTGTAGATCAAAGGAACAGAATAGAAAGCCCAGAAATAAATCCACAATTATATGGTCAATTAAACTTCAACAAAGCAGGAAAGAATATCCAATGGGAAAAAGACAGTCTCTTCAACAAATGGTATTGGGAAAACTGGACAGCTGCATGTGAAAGAATGAAACTGGACCACTTTCTTGCACCATATACAAAAATAAACCCAATGAATTAAGGACATAAATGTGAGACATGAAACCATAAACATTCCAGAAGAGAGCACTGGCAGTAATTTCTCTGATATTGGCCATAACAACATCCTTCCAGATATGTCTCCTGAGGCAAGGGAAACAAAAGCAAAAAATAAAGTATTGGGACTACGTCAAAATAAAATGCTTCTGCACACCAAAGGAAACAACCAAACTAAACTAAAAGACAACCTATTGAATGGGAGAAGATATTTCCAAATGACATATCCAATAAAGGG